GAAAAATCCGATTCCTTGTACAAAAGCACCTTCAATCTGTAGCAAGGAAAAGAAAAACAATCACCACAATTATGAACAATCTTGGGATCAAGAATCAGATAGTTCTGAAGTTTGAATAACGGTTCAAGTGCATGATGCATCTCTTAACCGTATAAGTGAATTCTAGTTACAAAATCTAGAATCTATGATGAAGGGAAGAACCTGTCCCAAATCAACAGCTGCATTCAAGCTCTGTCCGCAGTCGTAAATAATATCTGACTGCAAAATGGTAGTCTCTCCAGTCAGAACATCTATCTCCACCTGCAAAAAGAGTTCTATTGTTAGTTATCCATATGAAGATATATTGGCTGCAAAATGATCCACAACCGGAGTTCCCTGACGAGTGTTGTGTATTCATATATTGAAAATTGATAGTCATTGCATACGATTCACTGTCAAGATTTCTTGGTGGTGAAATGATACACACAAGACTCAAAATCTCATGCTTAAGAGGGTGGAGGTTCGAGTCCTCTTCAAGGCATAATATACGAGCATTCTCAATAAGAGAGCTTGATCGGATCTGTATTGATATTCCGATATACTGATTCGAACTAAGCTCTTGGAATAAATTCAGCAAAATTTGGTGATCTTCTCTACGTATTGAAAGGGGAATCTGCTTTAAAGTAGCAGACTGAGGCAGGGAACAAGAAAAACTGATAGGAGCAACAAGTTTACCTCACTGACAGCAGCGCCGAAGGTCAAATACCTCGAGAATTCTGGCACATAATAAGAATTTGCTGCTAAGTTTATTGATTGTGTTTGTGCCTGCAAAAGAAGAAAAATGATTTCAAATAGGACTTCAGAGTATTTTATCTTCTGACTAATTCAAATTTAGCATCTTTGGCATCACGAGTTCTGTTTGGATATGGCGAAATGTTTATAAGAACAAGGTAATCATTGATGATAAGGCGTCTCTTGCAACGAGAACATCTTAAGAATACAAGTTCACAGTGATTTCAAAAACCAAAAGTACTGATTGTGAGAAGTGTGACTTGCAGTGTTGAAATGTTGAAAACAAACCTGGCGAATCAGTGTTGGCCAATCAACAGAACCATTTTTTTCCTGCAACTGTTTCTTCAGAGGGGTCAGTCTTTCAACCAAGATATTACAGCAAAGTTTAACAGCTGCACAGCTTGATTCCGATGTAGTGCTTCCAGCCGTTAACCCACCTTGCACTACACTTAAGGTGTCTGCTTGTATGACTCGTACTTTCTCCACAAGGTCTTCGGCCCAACTACTTTCGATTGAACTGAGAGCATAGGCAGTCATCTGTCTAACCTTTGTCCATAGCCCTTGGCCAACTTCAACTCCTCCAACCTCCACAACAATTGATCCATCTTGCAGAATACTGACTTTTCCTGGTGTTGGTCGTTGCGAAGCATTGTACACAGCTGGCACACGAGAAATACCCCTTTTCTTCCATGTGTTTTTCTGGTTGAACTGTTCTATCATCTTGCTTCGTTGGAAAAAGCTCGACGACACTGCCAACTTATCCATGATACTAGGCAATGTATATTCTCCTTCTGCTACAACGTTACCGTAGAATAAGTTAAGGCTTTCAAATGTATGAACATTCTCATTTCTGACAGAGTCCACCTCAATCGACAGTAAACTTGCGACGTGCTCTATTATAGCTTCGGCGATATAAGATCCTTGCAACTCCCCAGGGCCCCGCATGATCGTTTTGCTGGTGAGATTTGTCTTGCATACTTGTATATCAAAAGATAAGGCACCCCAATTATATTTTTTTAGTGTATTCATCAGATATGATGGTATGATGGGGCTCATATCATCTGTGATCCCAGCATTTATCAATATATCAAGATGTAATGCTGTGATCTTTCCGCTAGACTTGAATCCTACACTGTATGTTACTTTCATTGGGTGTCGTCCTCCTGTCATTATCATGTCACTGTTCCGGTTGACATATATCCTGACAGGTCTTCTTAACTTGTATGCTGCTAGTGCACAGGCCGTGGAAACCTAAAATTATTCATAAACTTTAACATCAGTGTCAGAGAATTGTTATTATTACTATTTCTTTTTCGTATACTCACGTGCATTGCTTTGGAAAACTTGCCCCCAAAGGCACCTCCAAGCCTTCTTGTAATTACGCGGATGTTGTGTGCAGGAACACCAAGACAACTGGCAATCACACTCTGTGCATTCTCAGGGCACTGGCTTGAAGTATAAACAACCATGCAGTTGTCTTCATCTGGAATTGCGAGGGCAGTCTGTGTCTCCATATAAAAATGGTACTCGGAACCCAATCTTAACTGGAAAATGATTATTAAAAGAAATGATAAGTAATATGTTTGAACCTTTAGCATACATCACCATACAGGAATCAAATTTAGGAAACCATTTGAAACAATGCTATGTTCTCAGTCTCTTCAAAAATGCCAGCAGGTGCGTGCCGAATCATCCAATAGTGCATTTTGGAGGATCCACTATGGGTACGGCAATAATTTTGGAGAATCCGAGCAACAAAAAACAAATATGAACAGTAGATAAAACAAAAGTACCTCAGCAGAGAGAATTTTTTGATCAGCTTCAGCCATTCCTTTTGAGAAATCGCCAATCTGTGCAGGCTGAAAAGGTGGAGGGACTTGAATAAAGCTAGCTTTCTCAACAGCTTCCTCAACAGTTAAAATGGGAGAATCTACAGTTGTAGTGTCGTATTCAATGATGGCTGTTGTTGCAGCCACATCAGCAGATCTCTGACTGTCAGCAACCTATGGTGTTTCAACAACATAAGGAAAAAAGTTCAAAATTTCAATGGACTTAGTGCATGAGAAATTAACATTTCATTAAAGCAATCTCAGAAGAAGGAAACTTGAAGTGCTCACCACAAATGCAATTCTGTCGCCAGCACAACGGGAGAGATCTTCTGCAAATAAGGGCTCGGAGCCAAACGGTGTAACAGCTCCTGCATTTGCCCCTCCTGTTGGGATATCTTTGTAAGTAATTATGGTGGTGTCTGTTAAATGAGTAGGCTCAAGCTGGATTCCCTTGACACCAGCTAATGGTTTTGTACTGTAGATAAATGCTCCATTCAAGCAGTTTGGTGGTGAAGGAATATCATCTACATAAACTGCTTCACCTGAAAAATATTATGTAAACCAGCACACCTAAAGTTCAGAATGTTGCAGACTCAAAGTTATAGTTAAACTGGTGTGCAGATAAACTATTTTGTGTTAAAAAAAGAACAAAAACATGGCAAGAGGAATACATGACAACAAGGGCAACAAAAAAGGAGAAGAATGACCAATTGGTAACACCTGAAAACGGAATCTCAAGCTTCGTCTCCTTACACAATGTTTTATCCAAAACACACTACAAAGTTCGGCAAAAATATGTATTAACACCCCAAAGAATGGTACCTATAGTTGTACCAGAGGTGTCGAATGATTCCTAACGCAATGCTTTATCCAGAGCTAAGACAGAGTAAACTATTTCCTCGATCTCATATCTCTTATTATAGACTTTCCCTCCTGTACTTGCTATTACTTTAGTTGTGTATTTTCACTTTAAATACCAGATAACATTTTCAATATAACTATGTTGCTTGGACCCTTCAAAAATGTTGTCCACCCCTGTTGGATGCTAACATTTTTAAGTGTCTGAACAACATAGCTGCCTTAAAATTTAAATGTCAAAAAGCCAGCAGTCAAGGACAGGAAAAGTTGGTATGAGATTTTGGACTTAACATGCACAAGATGAAATAAAATATTAAAAGGGGATAACAAACCAGCAGCTTGCATGGCAGCTCCGATCTTCTTCAACGGTTCACCTACTGGAGAGTACTCCGTACTAAACTCCACTACCTGCTTAGAAGAAGATAGTAGTGTTTGTTTTTTCCCCTGACTAATGCAACCATTATTACTACTTTCCGAAAGTTCCTCATCTGTGATGTCATTAATTCCATCAAGTAAACCACCAGAAATAGAAGAATGAACATCAGTTAAGGGATAAAGAAACTCAAAAACATAACTGACGGCCAAGCTTGATCTGTACTCAGGGTGTAAAGTGCCATCTTCCGGTACCACCGCTAGTTTGACTAATTTAAGTGCTTCATACAAAACATGTACACTCAACATTTTCCCGGATAGGCATTCTTCTACCTTTTTAGCCCTTTTTGCATGTTTTGTGCCATACGCACCAAACGCCAAATGGATATTGTTTATCAGGACGCCGTTCTTGCTGTGAGAAACATCAGCCTGGAACGCAGCATTTACATATGCCAATGCATTCCCATGAGGTCGTGGAGCAGCTCGATAGGTTTCAAACAAAAATCTAGAATGAGTTTGGTGAGAACTTCGATCTTTCTTAAATGGGATGCAAACACTTAGAAGCACAGTCTTTGAGTCTAGTGGTGGTCTTGATAATAACTCCTCCCATGTGAGGTTTTCAGGTCCATGACTGGTCATCAAGCTAACAGTAGCAGAAAGCCCGAGAAGTAATGTAGCGATATCAGAAGGAAAACCATTCTTCTGTGCCATAACCAAATTTCCTCCCACACTAGCAGAGTTTCTAACAAATGGTGAAGCAATCTTCTCCATGTGGTCAGCCAATTTTTGGGATACCAACTTCCCATATGAACCCAAATTGATATTACTTTCCTCTTGCAAGACTGAAATGAATTTAGAGATAGTCACAGTTGCTCCAACTTCAATGCCTGTCTGATCTCTTTTGATGATTGAGAGTTCAGGAATGTGTCTGAGATCAACATAATGATCATATCGCTGAGTTTCCTTATAATAACCTGTGCCAGTATTACCAACGACGAGTTTAAAGCTTGCATGATTTAGCGTCACATTGAAGTTCAACAAGCTCCATAGCTCCTTAATGGAAACAGGACTGTACCAAGGGTACTTTGAGGAGTCCAAATTCGTGGTGGATTCACTTTTCATGAACTCAGGATATGTACTAAAATTCTGTTGGATCATAGGGAGGTAATTTTACTTACTTTCATTTCCTTGGAGTCTCCTTTTCCAAAAAGAATTGAACCCCAAATCCTCTATATCAATATCAGCAGCAAAAGTCTTGCAGGCATCAGCAATGGGCCGGTAGCCAGTGCACCGACAAAGGTTTCCCGCTATGGCATTTTCAGCTTCAGATGAAGTTAGCTTAGAGAATCCTGGTGGAGGATCGGGTTTGTTTCCTTTATCGGTGTTGACGAGAGCTGAGAAAAGTGACATACACAGGCCAGGAGTGCAAAAGCCGCATTGAGAAGCATAGAAACCGGCAAACCTTTCATGAATAGAGTGAAATCCATCTCTGGTGTTCCCAAGGCCTTCACTTGTAGTAATTGAACAACCGTTTAAACTACAAAGAAGTGTAAGGCACGAACTTACACTAAAATCTTCCACCTTTTTAAACTTCGGATCATACTTTGAGATCAGAACAACACAGGCCCCACAACCACCTGTAACCATACAAATAAGTTATATTCCTTCTGAAACCAAAATTGTGCATTTGTTACCAAATACTTAATCAGATTATAGACGGATGATGAAGAGATATACCCCTCTAAAAGACTTAAGAAGCAGTATTTCATAGTCTAAATGAAGTCAGTAAATAAGGAATATGATATCTCATTTAACGTGCATTCTACATTGAAAAACTATAAAAGCTAGTCATTGTACTTCATTGTACAACAAAAGTAATTCTACTCTACGAAGCTGCTGAAGTTAGCTTAGTATGTAAATCAATTACATATGGTGAAACCTTAAACTCCATTTTTACTATTGTAAAGATATGGCACTTGAGCCTAATCACCATCCATTCCCCCAAAAGCTAGCTCATCATGAGGGGAAGATTGTGCACTTCCATATAAACAAACTACCAATCAATGTGAGACTCTATCCCCCCCCC